ATCAGAACAGCGCGAAAGATGGTCAAAATTTCACGACATTATCATTTACAATAATACTGCCTGAACTAATAAGTATAATTATTCATTAAGTCTCTTTATCTTAATTGATAATTATAATAAGAGCAAATTAGCAGCTCAGGCATTTATGTAGAATAAAAGGCAAGAATCTTATAAGTGGGTAAAGTTGCCTGCCTAAACCTCTTCAAAATTCTACGATTAGTTTCATCAAAATTTTACTATAGATTTATTATAGTTTCGGCAGAGTTTTGGCAATTTCGGCAATTATAATAGATTTCAGCAGTTTCACTTTTCTCCAGAGTTTCGCCAGTTTTTTAATATAATTTTAATATAATTTTGGCAGAATTTCGCTTTTCGGCAAAATGCCATCTTACCTAAACTCCTAAGTTTCGGCAAGCAACCTTATGAGTGAGTACTTCAATATTGTCTTGAGACATGCGAGACTCCTCCATTGATATTTGTAACTAATGCTGATCCCACAATAATCGTAGCCATTTTTATTGTATTTCCCAAAGCTTATCATATGCAATGTTTATATCACCTCTATCAGAACATTCCAAAGAACCTTCATTCATATTTAGGTTTGCTATATCAAGAATTTCTTAAAGACTTTAAAGCAATTCAACGATTTCATTGCAAAAGTATTTTTAAAAGACGATCTCAAGATCTAGTTGTAAAATATGCACCAGAAAGAAAATATATAACTACAATGCTACTAAATTGAAAGCATATCTAGGTGAAATGCTTTACATCATGGCATTTTATAACAGAAACACAATCAACACAACGTGTCGAGTCAGAAAACACATTAATACAAAAGGCTGTGCAATCAAGTTTTTTTCTTTCCCAAGTTCAAGAAGCCATTGAAAATTGCCTTAAATTTAAATCTATAAATAATCTTTATTCTATCTGAAAAACCTCAACACTACAATATGCACAACCATTTGTTATCAAAATATTTTTTACTAGTATTGATAATAACATAAAGAAATATCTCACTCAACTGATCCATGATGTATATTTTAAACAAATGTGTCAATCTGTATATTATCGTACATATCAAGTACTAATTTTAGAAGTCTTGACATCAGAAGACGATTCATTTGAGCCAATTCTTAATGAAGAGGATTCTGGTGCTGAAATTCCTCCTGAAGTAGATGAAGATTAAGAGCTTACACTGGTCAAAAACTGATCTATCTTACAGATATCTTATAAATATCAGATATCCAAAATGCAGAAAATCTGTTATACATCGGATACCCAATATGTATACTATAGAACAGGGATGATGATTTTTTGTTGTGATATAATGTAAATTTTTTTGTGATAAATCATAATTTTGTGATTTTATATTTTCATTTATTGGTCATTTTTGTGATATTTTGTGACGTAATAAGCTTAATTTTGTGATAATTTGTGTAATAAAATTTACATTTTTATTAACCAATTATTTAAAATTCAAATTAAAATGCATCATATTTAAAGCTTTTAGTGATTCTAATGATAAATTTTGGTAATCATCATCTAATATTGTATTATAGATCAAAAAACTCCTTTCAACTGTACAACTAGAAATTGGCAACCAAATATAATCTAATGCAATATTAGATAAAAGTGGTAATTGATTTACCATTCTTAACCAAAAACCCTCTATTCCGGTATCATCTAAAACCCACTGTTGACCACAATAAATAAACCATTCACGAAGTAATTCATTAGAAGGATTATCAAATCCATTAATTATTGAATAAAGTCTGATATTTTTTCGCCCTACATCAGAATAAAAAAAATATGCAGGATCAAAAATTTGACATGCTTTAAATAATTCTCGTGCAGGATGATTAGAAATATGTAAAGAAAATTTTGCAAAAGCTGCTTCAAATGCAACTTGAAAAATTGGGTAAAAGTCAATTGGATTAAAAGGAAGGGTTAAAATTAAATGTTCAAGTGAAAAGCCAAAATCTGATGAAATTCTGTTTGATTCTAAATAAGAATTAAGCTGTTGAAGTTGTAACTCAACAAAAGGAAAAACTGGAGTATTTTTTTGTTGAAAAAAGTCAAGGGTACGAACAAATTCTTTTGAGAAATTTGAAATAAAATGAATATAAATGGTAATTATTCCTTTTTCTCGTACATTTTGTAAAATAGATTGAATTTTTGCTAGTTTTTCATTTCTAATATTATCTTGCAATTCAGCTTCAAAGAAACTTGGCCAATAATCTATATGGTCTTTAGCATAACAAACTATTCGAAACCAAGAATTCCATCGAGTTGCATTAGGTAATAGAATTTTGCAGGGTGACATAATTCCATGTTCTTTTAAATGGTTTGCATACTGACGTCTTCTTGCAGAAGTATTAACAAAAACATCCTTAATATCTTGCAAAAACTTTTTAAAATGTTGAATTGAGGAAGGTCTCTCCATGTTTCACTAAAAAAAAATCAAAGAAAAAATGTACATTGCGTAGTGATATTTTTAAAAAAAAGATCATCATGTAACACATATCCAATTAAGTTTAAAATATGCGCGCAATAAGGAACATGAATTAATTGGGGCATTACTGACTTCAAGATATCTCAGTAACATTTTTTCATATATACTGCAGAGTTAGAAAGAAATAAAATAGGTTTGTTGAAAGGAATATTGTAATTTAGCAAAATATAAAAAAGAGTTTGTCCTATTGTGGTATTATTAACTCTATTCAAAAAATCAACAGAAGCAAGTTTTGTGAAATTACGATAGACGAAAATAGTGTTAACAANACTACGTGCACAACTATNTAAACTTTCATCCATAATAATAGAAACAGGCATTGAATCAAATAAGAGTTTTAATGAAGTGACATGTTTTTCAAAAACTGAAGGGAAATATATTTGTCATAAGGTAGGTGCTTTTGAAATAGCTCCTCCTTCTTTTAAATATTTCTTAAAAAAAGGGAGCAATTGGTCAATTTTTTGAAGTGGTATATCAGTGTTTAAAAAGGCTTCAACCATATCCTCAATAACTATTTTTCTAAAGTCAGCAGCACGTAAAAAAAGATTGTAAAGTTTGTTGTTGAGCATTTTGTTAATTTTCTTCGTAAGTTTTTTTGTTTGATATATGTTTGTTACCATTTATATGACTGTTGATAGTAGATTTATGTCTCCATTCTACTGATTTATCACAGTAAATACAAAACATAATTCCTGCATCTTTTCTAAATATTCCTGCATATTCTTTAATTCGAATGTCAATATTTACTATTGAACTTTTTGCCCGGTGTGGACCCATATTATATGAGGAAAGAGAAGAGAAAGTTTAATTGTAAAAGTGAAAAAAAGGATCATAAGTAAACGCGGTTGATTTAATGAGATTTTCATGATAAAAAATACGATTTTTGTGTATTTGCAATATTTAAAATTTCCAAAATGAGAAATTCTGTGATATATCATATGAAAAAAAAAATTTTTCTTAATTTTGTGAAATTTTGTTGTGCAATGATGTAATTTTTGCTTATATCACAAAATTTTGTGATTATGTGTTATTATGTGAAATAAAAAAAATTATCGTCCCTGCTATAGAATTAAAAAATACAATTTATTAATTATCTTACTATCCAGTGATCATAAAAAGATAAAATATAGCTCATTTGATTCACCTCATTGAGACGTATCAAATGGTACTAATTTCCCATTTCTAGGTGCGATAAATATCAAAATATTACATTTTTTATTTAGTTTTTTACGATTTATCAAATATCTCAACATCTATTACACCTAGAAATGTGAAATTAGTACCATTCGATACGTCTCAGTGAGGCGAATCGAATGAACTATATTTTATCATTTTATGATCACTGGATAGTGAGATAATTAATAAATTGTAGATATCTGTAAGATAGATCAGTTTTTGACTAGTGTTAATCTGCAATCTTTAATTAAAACAATTGAACATGATGATATTCTTGAGATTTGGAAGGTTTCCCAATATAATTATCCTAAATGCTATCAATACGTAGTTTTACTTAACACTGGCAAGCATTTATGTACATGCTTTATGCTTGTCACTCATGGTATTATATGCCAGCACTTTTTTAAAGTATTTGTTGAATCTTTCAAAGCATGTTTTCATCTGAAGCTAATTTCTCGCCAGTAGTATAAAGATGAATATATTAGTTCAAGTGAGGGTGACTTTAACGAAATGGTTATAGGTAATCCCCAATTCTAACCATACATTAGAATTTACCCAAAAGTACATTATGAATGATATTTCAGATTATGACAGATAAATATCACAAATCAACTGAAATATGATACTTTAACGGGCGAAGTGAAAAAAGCTATTCAATTCGCAATTCGGGATAGTGATGATGAACTAATTCAGTTTATAAGAGATTTTAATAAAAGAAAGGAAGATCAATAAATTCAGGCTGAATTGATTAAACGGAAAGAAATATTAGCAAATAAGAGAATGAATGAGAATGATAATCAAGTTATTCATAGAAGAGATGGAGTATTAGTTGATTCTAATAAAGTTTTAGATCCATTAAGACATCAATCAAAAGGAAGATCACTAGCAAAATGATTGAAGTTATCTATCAAAACTGGAAGCAAGACAAGTTTAAAAAACAGAGATAACAGATAAGGGCAAACAAATAGCTGATGGGGTCGTAAATGTGGCATATGTGAGGAAAATGGTCATTATTGCAATACTTATTCAAAGAATCAAGTAAATTGATTAATAAAAGCTTATAGTAAGTATAATGCAAACCTAGTGCAGGAATCGAACCTGCGTTTTTATGATAAAAAAAAATATCTAGCATTCTGCCAACTGAACTAACTGAGCAAATTTTAATATTATTAAACGATAGGTATTATAAATGCTTATTTTTAAGGTTCAAAAAACAATTAAAAAATTTAAATCCTGATTTTAACAAAAATCCTTGAGGATTTTTGTTGATACTACATGATATAAGAAACTCCAGAATTAATTAAAATTAAAAGGCCCAGTACAGGAATCGAACTCGCGTTTCTATGATAAAAAAAAATATCTAGCATTTTGCCAACTGAACTAACTGAGCAAATTTTAATGTTACTAAATGATAGATGTTATAAACGCTTATTTTTTAAGATTCAAAGAATAATTAAAAAATTTAAATCCTGATTTTAACAAAAATTCTTGATACTACATAACATAAGAAACTCTGAAATTAATTAAAATTAAAGGCCCAGTGTAGGAATTGAACTCACGTTTCTATGATAAAAAAATAAAATATTTAGTGTTCTACCAACTGAACTAACTGAGCAAATTTTAATGTTACTAAACAATAGGTGTTATATTTATATATTATTATATGATTATGTAACGGGAAATATTGATCTCACCTGGGGTGAGAAATAAATTTTCCCTATTATTTATTATATAAATATATTGATTTATATTTATAAATAAATAATTATTATAGCAAAAAAAAATTTTTTTTTAAAAATATATCTGTTATTATTATATTATTAGTTCAGAGTTACTTAGAATTGGGATAAAGAAAAATAATAAGGTTAGGAAAGTAAACTAAGAGAAGAAAAGATGTTATAATCATTATACTAAAGATACAAAAATAGGTTATCTAGTCAGTAGCTTTTTTAGATAATTATTTAATTTATATTATTAAATACAGTAGTGATAATAACAAACTTTTAATAATATTTAAAATAAATTTTTATAAATTATTTTAAATTACTAAAATTTTTTTTTTTAATTTGCTTTTTATATTAATCTTAATAATATTTAAAAAATTTTTAGTTAGATTTAATTAAAATTACTATATATTATAAGCTATAATATTATAGATGTTATCCAAATTAGTAAATTACATATAAACTAAATGAATTTGTACATCTTAAATTATATTTATGATATTTCAAAATAATTTAGATGGTATTTATATATAGTACCTCCCTTATGCATAATATTCTTTTCTTTTTTATACAAAAAAAAATTTATTTCTATTAATATTATTATTTTAAAAATCTAATTTTACTTAGAAATTACATATAAATATTTTTCTAATTATAATGCAAATTTTTAAATACTGCAGTATAAGGTAAATAAAAAGTAATAATATAGTATATAGTTAATAATTTATAAGTAAAATTAAAATATAAGCACATATGTATTATTTAATTTTATAATAGTAATTTATTAAATAGTTAGTTAATTAAGTAATGTAGCAATCACATGTAATTATATAGCACAGTAATAATATAAGAATTGTAAGAATCATATAAGAGTCATATGATAAAAAAATAGTTAGAAAAAGGAAAAATAAAAGAAAAAAAAATGTAAAAAAAAAAAAGAAATATATATGTAAAAGAAAATAATTATAATAATATCATATTTAATAATAATATAATATATATTTATTAAAAACGTAATGATAAATTATAATTCATAATAAGTAAAGAAGAAATAATGATAAAAAAGAAAAAAATTAAATGATAAATTTCTTAAAAAATATTTTATATAACAAAATTTATTATAAATAGGGTAGCTTTTAACTTTAGTAAAGTAAATCTTTATAATTTAAGAAAAATAAGAAAAATAAATAAATAAATAAATTTACATATTTATTAAAAATAAACTTTCAATTTTTGGTCATTTCTTATAAGTAAATAACTACCTTAATTGAAACTTATTTTTATAATGGCTTGAACTGGTGTGATAATTAACATCTTAGAATAAGGTTCTTGATAACTAAAAGCTTTCTATTGCAAATGGTGCATATTTTAAGAATCTTTAAAGAAAATTCAAATCTTTATTGGCTTGGTCTACATTTAGATCTTAGAAAAAAATATAAGAAAAGTATCCTAGTAAATAGATTTTTAGTAAAAAAGAGAGCCAGAAAAGGATCCCAAAATATATATATAAGGTAAGATGACTTTTGAATTTTTTACTAATAGCTTTATGCAAGGGTTTTTTATATAATCACTATGCAAAATTAGTACTCAATATCAGATAATCATGAAAAATAAGCAAATTAATCATCTGACCTTTAGTTGTCATATAATTTAGGCTATTAATTTTCAAACATTGTAATTTTTCTTTTAATGAGTTTTTAATTTTTTATTCAAAGCTATTTTTTATAAAAATTGTAAATTGTTTTCAACTTTACATTTTAGAAGAATTAATTTGAAATAAAAAATTTCTTTTGAAATATGAAATACTTAAATAAGTATTATAAATTTGTTAATTTAAACTATTTATTTATATATAATAAATATAATAAATATAAATNAGCCAAATTAGTACTAAAAATACGCAAATTTAACCTTTTGCTTTTAAAAAAAATACTAAAAATACACATTATGAATATTTAACTTTAACCAAAAAAAGCCAAAATAATATGCAAATCAAAACTTAGCTTCAATATTTATCTCTATTATAGCTTCGTGTTTGTTGATCCTACTCCTATATATATGTTTCAGGATCCTGCTAGAAAATCTTTCTGAATACAAAATTTACAGAATACCAGATTTTTTTAAAAGAAATTAGAGAAAAAAGTTTGGACAGATCTGTGACAAATAATTGAAAAATTATTATTAGTTTATCAGTCTATAGTGAATTAATAAATTAAAATTAAGGAAATATTTATCAATAATAGGATTTTATTATAGTTTATCAATTTGTGAATATATGAAATAAAAACTGATAAATTACATTTTCTTTTATTGATACTTAATCTATAAACGTATAAAATTAAAATTGAGGAATTGTGATTATTACAATAGGATCTTTATAAATATTATAAATAAAGAAAAATAGAGAATATAAAAGATGTAAGTTATCAATTTTATTAATCTTAAAGTAAGAATGGGTCTGCAAATAGACAATTGAAAAATAATTATGATTTGCAATATTGCAAATAATTGCAGAAATTAAGAACCAATTCTGCAATTTTGGTCAAAATTAACATAATTTTGGCCAAAATTATATACTATAAACTTTATTAAAGCATAACTTTGCCAATATCAATGCTGAAATAATAATTTTACTATTATTTGAATCCTTTTATTGAGACAAATTGAATGGTATAAATTTTATTAAAATCCAATTACTAAATAATATTCCATCACTAATAATTGTTAAATATTTATTTAGTATTATATTTATAATAAAAAGATGAATTTTATACCATTTGAATTCTCTTATAGAGATGAATTGATTAATATAATATTTATTAAAATCTAATTATTAGATTATATTTTATTTTCAAAAATTATTAAATGTTTATGTAGTTGTATCTAAAATTCTGCATAAGCTGACTCAAACCAAACCAGAAATTGGCTTGAGTTTAGCTCAAAATAATTTTTGAATTGAGCCTGTAATAAGCTAAGTTATAATAAATATTAGTTTGAACTTTTCAAGCTGAGCTAAGTCAACTTGAACTTTATGTATAATAAATTTTTTTATAAGATTGATTATTTATTATAGATTATTTATAATATCACAATTATAATTATACTGAATAATTAAAAAAAATATATATTAAATATGGTATCAGAAGTCTATACTCAACAATCACGTGATTTTGTTTCAAATTTTCCAGAACTGACCTTAATCATGTGATATAACATCGGCCAATAAAAACCCAAGAACTTTGTATCACACATATGCGTTTTTATAGTTGATGCATTGCGAAAAAACAGAGAAATTGTAAAATTCAATAACGCCAACATTGCTATAAGAATTGTATTATAAAGGCAGCTATAAAGTGTATATGATATTTATTATATTCATTATTATTATTATCATATTTATTTATTATCATGTCTAACTAATCCATTATTCTTTCAATATTTTCAGGTAAATGATGATGGGATTTATGATATTTATTAACAGCCCACTTGGCAGCCCTATCTTCTAATCCTTTATTATATGCGTCCATGTACCTCCATGACTTTCATGCAAACTTACAGATAGTCATTACAGGAACGCTAATAAGAACTTCCAGAACCTGTATTAATAAATCGGTAAAATTATAACTGCATATTCGTCTTGTTTCCCATTTCGCAAAAATCCAGTATCGCTTTATGAAATTGCACTCACAATGGAACTTTGGGTATTGTTTGAATATATGATTTGCTTTAATTATTGCTTCTTCTAATATTGATTTTTGTTCACGAAAATCATGTTGTAATGACATAATTCTCCTTGCACAACAATCAGACCTTTCCAAATCAACATCATCTTGTTTTTCAGAGCACTGCTCACACATCAAACAAATACCCTTATCTGGTCAAAGGTTACGTTCCTTAAGTACTTGCTTGATGCCCTTTGGCTTCTCTTTTAATTTATGATTTTTGGGAAATATCATTGACTGTATACATTTTTGTCTGCTTCCATCAATGTATCAACTATCACACATTATAAGTTGTGCTTCTCCAGGGTTAAGATTCATTCTCATTACAATAAATGCATCAGTTGCCATTGCATTGTAATTTGTAAATTGATCAAAGCAAAAAACTCCAATATAGCCAGGATGTAATATCTCAAATATTGGAATTGCTTGATGTACAAGCTGTTTTTGTTAACAAAAAATTAATTTGATTCTTTTTAATAATTCTGATCTTAAGTTATGTATCTGATCCAGCATATGTTTCAATTTCCAATATCTATCTGTTTGTACAGAATGAATAACTAAAGCTTCTTTATTTTTGATGTGTGGATTTGCTTGCAATTGTTCATCAAATAATCGCAACAATCCATGACATGGACAAATGAAGGCCGAAACTATGATAGAATGTCCTTAGTATTTTGAGCGTAGGATATCTTCATCATCTCATCCAGATTCTTTGCTGCCCATCATTAGCGTAAAAATGGCATTTATCATGCGTCACTTAAACTATTTCATTTTCTCCCAGCTTAAGCTGAGGTTCTAGAACAATATCCATCAAATCACCATTAAAATCCTTCATGAATTTCTGATATTCAAACATCCTTTCCAACTATTCCTTTCTATACATTATTACGTCTGGTTGCTCATGCCCATCGTAATATACTCCCTTCTTTCTTTTATCATATTTA